AATTTCAATTTCTACAAGCGGTGAAACATATAACAACTGCACCTTGTCACCCTAGATTCAACTGTCGAGCAGAAGGCTTCGTCGACGCTCCTAAAAGCCTTAAAATAGGAGGACAATGAAATGTTACGGCCTTTTCTATATTTGTACAGACACACCAAATCTTAACAATAGGTCGAGGACACCACACGCCAAGTTAATGTTCTCAAGGAAAATGAACTACAAAGTGGTGCGAAAGTCCTACATAATATAACAGCGCTATGTCAGGTATCAAAGTGAGAGTTTCACATGAATGATACGAGAATATATCAGTGGAAGGACGTCGTTCGGGGAGCCTTTGCAATAATCAATAAAATATAGTTTCGTAAAATATAGGCGGCGCCTCATTTTGTGCCAAGAAAATGATGTTGATGTTTAATGGACGTCAGGACCCAAAGAGTGTGAGTTCAATACCCTGTTAGGACAGTGGAGAACTTGGAGAGGGAATTAACAGGAGATAACTTACAACTGACATCCATTAGACATAGCACGTGGAACTAGAACAGTCTACCCCAGTGAGCGAAATAAAGGTTCCAGTTCGACATTCCAACCACCTAAAGAAGGCCGGAGCGTACAACGGCCGAAACATTGTAATGAATATGGAAACAAAAATGAGGACAATAGTCCGAATAATGTAAATAGTGTACATAATACCTCATCTCAGAAATATAGACAGATACATTAAAGGCTGAAAAGGTTGTAATAAATATGCCGACAAAGATGAGGACAATAGTCCGAATAATGGAAATAATGTAAATAACAGACAGTAATACAACTGGGGATGGATGGCGTGATATTACGGGGAATCGGTGTAGTGATATATCTGGTTCAAAATCAAAATGGTTTGTATAAGTAGCATATAACCCAACTACCGCAGAGAGATTGTAAGGAAAACTATACACGGTCGACTCTATTGACGTTCGAACTCCTGTGTGACATATTTTATCTGCGCATATCTGCTTAACATAACAGCGAACGAAGTGGTATCAGCACCAAGGGTAGGGAAAAAGGAAAATACACACACACAATATAATATGTTTTATATATATTATATATTGTGTATATATATTATATCATATATTATATAAATTATATTATATATATTATTATTATTGTATATATCTTATATATATATATCATATATTAATGTGCAAATATGTAGAAAAATAGGAAAGAACACGTTAGGTAAATAATCCGGAGTAAAGTTGCAGCATTTAACAAAAAACTACAGGAATTTGGAAAAGACTTCCTCAATATAATCAATAACATCTCCTTTCAAAAAAAGAAAAGCAACTTCTAAAATCATCAAGACCAAATAGTTAAAAGCATCAATGACAGCGATAAAATACTAGTTAAGTCCGACAAAACGGGAAACTTCTACAAATTGACGGTAGACGACTACAACAAATTAATTAAAAAAATTAACTAAGACTTATATAAAAGCTCATAATAACAATATTAATATCGTAGACAGTATCAACAGAACTAGTAAAATTATTATTGAAAAATTAAAAATAAGCGATAGGGTAGGCAAACTAGCTGAAAAAGAATACTACATCACTATTAAGGACCAGAAAAATGATTTTGAGGAAGAATGATAAACCCAACCAGACCCGAAGTAGGAAAGATAAGCAAAAGAATCCTAGAAAGGATCACGAGGCAAATCAAAAAATGGATTGGATTAACACTCTGGATTTATACAAAAGAAGTCATCAATTAGTTTACCAACATCTACAATAAGCCTGATTGCACCCTAATACGGTTCGATATTGTAGATTATTACCAGTCAATATCAAGACATCTCTTCACGACTGCCCTGGTGTTTGCTATTGTATATTCTGACTTAACTAAGGAAAAAATGAACATGATTTTTAGTGCAAAAAAAAATTTGTCCTAATCCATAATGGGGACCAATGAATTAAAAACACTAATGACAATTTTGACATCACCATGGGATCTTTAGACTCTGCAGTCTTCTGACATTGTCGGTCTACTTATACTGTACAATCTAATCGCGCACCGTGAATTAGACATTAGCGACAACGGGCTCATGGTAGTGAGGAGTTCCACAAATTTTAAAATAGATAAAATTAGAAAGATAATATAAAGTGAATTCAGAAATCTAAACTTAAAACTACAGTCAATAATAAATTAAAAAGAGTAAACTTCCTCGACGTAACTCTGGACTTGTTCATTAAGTATACCTACCTTACAGAAAACACTAATCCCTTGTATGTACACCCTTAGTCAAACCACCCTCCATCTATAATTAAGCATATACCCACTTCAATAGAGAAAAGAATCAGCATGAACACCGATAATAAGGAAATATTCCAACAACGCAGCCCTAAAAAATAGCGGATACAAAAACGCCAACATAAATTATAGAAACAATAGTACTAACCAGAAGAAAAACAGGAAAAGGAAAATCATTTGGCATACCTCTCCGTTCAACTAAATGGATATAAGTACCTAGCTTTAATTGAAAAACACTTTCCTACTAATAGCAGACTTAGCAAGATCTTTAATAAAAACACATTAAAATTAAGTTACAGTTGCACTGAGGATCTAGAAAGAATCATAAAAAAATCATCATAATAAAATCCTGGAAAAACACGGTTGCCAAAACAGAAATTAATAAAAATCCTAAACTAAAATTAGAGAAAAATAATGAAAAATTATGTGATTGTAGAAAGCCTGAAGACTGCCCGTTGGAAAATAAATGCCGCACAAAATCTGTGGTATACCAATGCACTATCTCATCCATTGAGAGTCCTAACACTGATAGGATATACATTGGTTCAACGAAGAATGGATTTAAATTTAGATGGAGACAACGCAAAAGCTCTTTCAATATTAGAAATAGAAATCAGATATCTCTATCCAAATATTTTTGGCATTTAAAAGAAATGAATAAAACACCAAAAGTAAAATGGAAAATAATAAATAGAACAAGAACTTGTAAAACCTGGGATGACCCATGCCCTTTATGCCTACATGAAAAACTACACATTAAGTTTCTAAATAATGAAAATTTATTAAACCATAAACATGAGTTAACGGTTTTTTGCCGACATCAACAAATGTTCGCATTAAATAATTAACATAAAAAATTAAATGGCATAGTCTAATAAAAGGTTTAAAAGCTTAACCCAATCATAAGATAGAAAAATCCTTTATGAAGTCGTCTAAAAACAAATTGTAGTTCAGTGCGACGCGTTTAAGTACGAAACAGCCTTTTAGAAGAAAAAAAACAAAAGGATAAATAAATAAACAAAATAAAATAAAACAAAATTCTCTAGACACTTAAAGACATATTATGTTGGCAAAAGCTACCTTTCGCTATGACAGACCAGAAGATGTGCGCACATGAATGCCATCATTCGTTTTGAAAGGGATACCCCCACCCTACCTCGGCTTGACCTCTTTCCGAAGGTGACTGATATGTGGATAAAATTATCTCTTAGGCCCCTTACCAAAATGGTCGCGCCAGCCGTTTCCGTAGTAATTAATTTTGCGAATGAACATGCTTATAAAGATGCGTAAATTTCAAGATTGGTTATTCCTAAATTTTCGCTTGAAGATGAAACAGGGCTTGCTACTTTAACTCAATTTAATTTTAATAATTTTATTGAGGTTTTCGGCTTTCATTTTTGAAACATGAGAACTCTTATGTAGCGAAGAAATCATATTTTTTAAAATAATTATAATATATCATATATTATATATATATATATTATATATATATATATTATATATATATTATATATATTATACATATTTATATATATATATATATATATATATACTATACATTCCATCTAAATTTCTGGAATCAGGAATTATCTATTTACATGATTTGCTTTCGGACTATTATCCGTTATGATATTGACAAAAAAAAGATGATAAAAAACTTAAAATGTCTGGGGCACTTAATAATGAATGAGGGCTTGGAGAATTTGGTACACACAAGACATATTGAATGCAAGAAAGATAGTAGGAATCAGCGAGTAACATACCCAGCGAGAAAGGGTAAATGGATGACAGAACACCAACTGCAGAACACAAACATTGCTTAGACATACAAAGGATAGGAAATTGTGGAGAGTCATAACTCATGAAGAGATATGACATATAAAAAAGACAGAAACATCGTAGTTCTTATCTTTAGATGATTTTTATTTTGATTATATTTAATTTTGTTTAAAAGTAAATTTTCTGATGAATTATTCAAATGGTAGGACTGCGTTTTTCTCAAAGTGATCCAAATTCGCAGTACCTCGGTAAAGATTTAACTTAATCCAATCAATATCATATTGCATTAACCAAATTGCTCGTTAATTTTGTCACACAATATAAAATGCTTTCGAAACAGTAAATATTAAAAATTCTTAGAAAAGACATTTTACACACTTTTGTTTTAATGACAAATTAACCTTGAATAATTTGACTCACTTTGTGAATTAATCTTTCTTCCTTGGAGAATTTTATTGGATTACTTTTGACATTTCCTTGTTTTGAACGTCGGATTTATTTTCCGTTCGAAATTATATAAACAGATTTCATAATGGCATTAATAATACAGTGTACGCGAATAGATTCCATGAAAAGAACTGCAGATTGGAATTATTAAAACATAAGAACATCAAAAACATATATATTGAAATATCAAACATGGTTGATGATGTAGGCATGTTAATATCGAAGCAATATTTTACTTTTATTTATTTATTTTATTTTAAAATTCTTATTTATTTATTTTATTTTGTTTTTTGATGTGATTAATTTGCTATGCTTTTTTTTGTTTGTTTCTTTTCTTTTTTGTGAATATTTTTCATGAAATATTTACATTTCCACGGATCGATTCAATCCCCGGAGAATTTTATTTACATATTAAGAAGGGCTTATTGTTTTCTTTACGTTTTATGCAAAATGGAGCACGTTTCAGTGTTGACGTCATTTAATCAATGTTTCATAATTCTAACACATGAGGACGTTGCTTGGTTGAAAGAAAGAAGTAAAATAGAAAGGAAGGAAGGAAAGGGAAGGAAGGAAGGAAGGAAAGGGAAGGAATGAACAAGGAAGGAAGGAAGGAGGAAGGGAGGAAAGAGAAGGAAGGAAGGAAGGAAGGAAGGAAGGAAGGAAGGAAGAAAGGAAGGAAGGAAGGAAAAGGAAAGAAGGAACAAGGAAGGGATGATGAAGGGAGGAAAGGGAAGGAAGGAAGGAAGGAAGGAAGGAAGGAAAGGGAAGGAAAGAAGGAAAGGGAAAGAAGGATCAAGGAAGGAAGGAAGGAATGAGGAAAGAGGGAGGAAGGAAGGAAGAAAAGAAGGAAAGAAGGAAAGAAAGGGAAGGAAGGAAGGAAAGAAGGAAGGAAGGAAGGAAGGAAGGAAAGAAAGAGGAGGAAGGAACGAGGAAGGAAGGGATGAAGAAAGGAAGGAAGGAAGGAACAAACGAAGGAAGGAAAAGATGAAGGAAGGAAAAGAAAGGATGAAGGCATGAAAGAACGAAGGAATGGATGAAGGAATGAATGTAGGAAGGAATAAAGGAAGGAAAGGAAGGAAGTAATGGATGAAGGAATGAATGTAGGAAGGAATGAACGAAGGAAAGGAAGGAAGGAAGGAAGGAAGGAAGGAAGGAAGGTTTGCACTGAAGGGGAAATGTAGAATGAAAAACGAAAAAAAGAAAAGGGAAGGAGGAAAGAAATCAGAGGAAAAGAAGAATAAAAGAGGAAGAAGGAAAAGAAAGAAAGAAAAAAAATGAATGAAAGAAAAAAGGTAGAAAAATGGAAAGAAGATTAGAATGAATATCTCACTGGCTACCAACCTAGAAATGTGGTAGTAACTCGTCAGATTCTCAGCTAAGCAGCGACCCTACATCACTTCAGGCCATGGGACAGATGATGATGATGGAAATTAGGGGTGGATGAAAGAAAGGAGAGAAATAATGGAATAAAGAAGATGAAGAAATAAAAACAAGTGATATGTAAGAATTGAAGACAAAACGGAAGAAGAAAAGAAAATAAGAAAGAAAAGATTACGGATGAAAAAGTTACTAAGAATAAGATATAAAAAATGAAAAATGGAAATGATGGAATGAAAGAAAGAAATGATGAGCATAAAATGAAAAATTATGAAAGAAACGGAGAAAAGAGAAAGGTAAAAATAAAATACATTGAACAGATTTCTAGAATGTTCGCTCAAAAGGGTTTGATTAAGAAAGAAGTAGTTATCGCATCGCCGTGGAACAATGGTTATTAATCTAGAATCGAAGACTAGTAACGAGCATCTACAATGGGTGACTCCCTAGTTGGACTTTCAGCCCTAATAAAATAAGCTGAGTCAATATTTGACTTACCTCTGTGTCGAACACTTGTTAACAAGGTACTTTTGTAGATCTTTACTACCGTAGTGAGTTTGTTCATCAAAACACAACCCGAATAAAGAAAGCGTGAAGAAAGACATTTCCAAAAAGAATTTAAAAAGGAAAAAAAAAAAAGAAATCAAAGAGACTATCATTGAATGGAATAAAAATTAAAAGATGAAGGTATAAAAAAATAGGCGGGAGAAAAGTTAATGAAGAAGAGACTTGAGGTAACAGAAATGTGGTTCTACAGAAGGATGCTGAGAAGAACATCAACTGATCTAGGGATTAAATGGAAATTTTAAGGAAAATGGAAACAAAAAGATCACTTATAATACGAATTAGAAAGAGATTGTAGAAACTTTTCGAACACATTATGAGGAAAGAGGACGTGGAGAATCTGATACTCACAAGACATACTGAAGGCCCGGGGAAGAGAGGAAAGCAACGAATAAGTTAGATAACAGGCTTGTGTAAATGGATGACACATTAGGAGAGAAACGAAGTCAAACATTACTAAGAGGAACAAAGAATAGGAAGATGTGGAGAAGCATGATCGTTCACGTCCTGAAGGGGAATTATACATAGAAGAAATCTTGTTATTATTTTATATTTTCACACACTGTAAAGAGATTTTGTTTTAATGAAACACCATATCCGTTCATCAATCTCCACATCTTCATTTCTTAGGATATTTAATATCACCAGTCCTGACCTGGCATCTCGACTTCCGTTACTTATTAATTTTAATTCATCTATTCTTCTTCGGCTGTTGTTCGACATTTAGAATTCAGAACTTTGGACTGGAAGTTGCCTTGCATTCCTGAACATCCGATCTGTACAACCTTTTACGACAAGATGACAGAAACACATCTCTCTCGGCAACACTTACATCCATATTTTTTAATTTTTTATTTCTGATTTTATTAGCCGGTGTATTGTTGACTAACCAAATGCATATCACTGTCTTTCTTGTTAAGCTTCTGAGAGTAAAACTATTTGTAATAAAATGAAACACATATATTGAACTTCTTAAAACTAATCATAAAATGTGTTAAAACAATTTTTGCTGTTACCAATATTTGAAGAAAATTAGAAACTGTATTTACAAATGGTAAATTTATGAACTGAGGACATCCCCAGACATCTCAAATTTATGAACTGAGGACATCCCCAGACGTCTCAAATTTATGAACTGAGGACATCCCCAGACGTCTCAAATTTATGAACTGAGGACATCCCCATACGTCTCAAATTTATGAACTGAGGACATCCCCAGACGTCTCAAATTTCTCTTTCTTATTTTAAGTGTCTTCTTGGTACCAATTTCTTTAAAACTTCTTCGTTGCTCACATGTTCCAACCTTGATGTTCGCAGTTTCTATTGTAGAACCAAATCTCCGATGCTCGTAGTCTGTGAGGAACTGTAAGGATTAGATTCGAAATATTAACTCTGTTCTCATTGTATTAACGAACTTCAGGATACAATCACAATAGTGAGTTCTTTCAAATTCTTTGACATTGAAGAAGACTAAATTATATGACTACTGTAGCGACCATGTTTTGATGGGTTTTTTTTACCTCTCAAAGTAAGTGTATAGTTAAAGTTGGTCTGTGACAGGTGAGTGGGTCTAAATTACACGCGTCTTTTAGACAATAATAATGTCGCCATTAGTCAGCGGTGCGATGAAGGGAAAAATGAATGAGACACTAAATTCGAGCAAAACATTCTCCCAAGAAGAAATAATCAGTTATCAAAGTTGGAATAATATTTTCTCTAATATACATAAAATCTATTCCTTTTACTATTTTCTTTATTTACCCTTCTGTCATAATTCTTTCTACGTTTTATTCTCTCTTGTTGCATCTGCCATTTATCTCTCTATCTCCATTTATTTCCCGTTTCTCGCACACTCTCATTCAAAATATTTGAACTACAGACATTATTAATTTATTAGGATTGAATATTTAACAAAGTATACTCAGTGAGAATGAGAAGAAATTTCTAGAAATAATAAAATCAGCATTTAATTCACAATTCCTTCTGATCCAGGAATCTGCAATCTTAAATATCTGAATATAAAAAAAAAATCTGTATTGCAAGTCAGTTTGAGAACGGCAATATCAAAGAAATCAAAATTTGGAATTCCAATTTTTCAGCTTTTAAATACAAGTAATTCATTGATTGCCAATTAATCACTGTGACACGTTCAGGTCAACCATGATCACATCTACCTTCAGTATTTCGACTTCATTGCTTCCTTTAGTTGTGTTAGTATGATAACGAATGTGTCAAAGCTGTTATAAACCAAGAAGTCTTTGTTTATAGCAACTTTGATAGATTCTGTGTACTTTCAGGACGTAGGCGATCATGGCTATCCACTTTCCCTTATCCCTTGTGGCTCTCAATAAGTTTCGTCCCTCTGCCAACACCCCCAGACTACGTTCTGTCAGCCACTTGCTAAAGGCCGCCAGTTATATCATGCGTTGCTTTCCCTTGTCTCTCTTTCCCTCTATTTGACCTGTGAGTATCAGATTCTCCAGGCCATTCTTTCTCATTACGTGTCCCAGAAATTTCATCTAACTCTCCCTTATGTTAATTATAAGCTTCTTCCCTGTTTGCATCAAAAATGTTCGTGTATGGTTCTTTCAGGGTGAGCCTTCTAAATTTTTGAATGACTCCATATGTGGAATTGCTTGAACTTTTCAGGCTTGCAGGTTATTTTTTTTATCACCCTCATCTATACGAATCTAACTGATGTAGAAGGGTTAGTAGTAAACGCGATGAAAGGACCTCCTATATCGTCGTTCTAAAACGTTCTTGTTATAGACAACAATAGCTTAGAAATCAAATTTCACAAGACTTAAGAATTGAAGCATAATATATAACACTTGAAATAAAACTGTAGATACTACTCACTTTAGTAATATACTAGCAGTGTGGCCCGGCGTTGCCCGTGCTTGATTAAAAAATCGTACGACTCATACAGCAATCGCTATCACTTGACTTAAAATACTTTTGCCCTTCCTTGCCTTTAAAGGAGTGCCCTTTGCCGTGCTGGTGTTGCTACATGCCTTACTTCTCACACTGCGAATTTTTTCTAAGCTCTATACTAAACATTAAGTCTGTTACGAAAAAAGAACTAAACAAAATGAACACAAAACGATCAGCTTTAAAAAAGGACTCGTAACTGGAAAAAAAGGAATGAAAAAAGAATGTTATCAGAAATACTTTTTCACACCCATACCCAGTTCTGCGGAATCAGAATCAACATTGAGTTTAAGCAAGCAAATGAGCCAATTGGAGTAAAGTGCCATGCAGATTTAAATTTTTTCCACTTGTGACGAATGCAGCTATCGATTTTTTTGCATGCTAGTTAACATTCGTGTCAGTTAGCTGTTGGCTCTCATGCAGCCAGTAGAATCTCCCTGCCAGTAGAAAATGGCCGCAAACTACAAGAAAACTGTTGTAGACGCATGAAAAAATCTATTATTTCCACTATTGATGGGAGTTGGGAAATGCAAAGTCGGTCTTGGCCTTCCCGCTAACTTGGAGCATGTGCATGTAAATTTTGGTGCAAACGTGTCGAAAATTGCGGCCGTGCATTCGTTACACACACACACACCCACACATCCTGCCTTTTATAGATAGAGATTTGTCATGAGAAACTGAAAGCTAATAGGTTTCTTACTTTATAATCGACATCAATTCGATTTTGCGTTGAAATTCACAGTTGTATTCATAGACTGGCTAAAATTTAAGTCTGTTCGCCTCTATCGTATTATTCAATCCATAGATAAAAGGAGAAGTGGATTCTAAGGACACATTCGGCTTAATTATGGCTTCTGAATGTACTTTCTGCGCTGAAGAAACGTACCAGTATGATTATGATTTCCATATGCTTCGTTGCATTGCAATAGGCCCCCAAAATAAATATGAGAAGAATTAATAGCTGCAAAAGAAGAGGCTATGAATTTGTCTGACAGATTTGACAAACGAACACATTAAACCTGTTGCATGCTTTCGTTCCAAATCACGTGACAAATGTTTTGGGATTGAAATTTTCTCCAGATTTCATTTTTCAAATTTTATTCAGTATTTATTCTTTGCTCGAGAAATATTTGTAGAAATGGATTCTGTTGTCTATTTATGCAAATTCCTTTCATATCGTCTGATAAACTAAATAACATTATCATTGAAAAACGAAAGAAAATCACCGCATTGATACATGTTTTTTAATCCTATCTAAACCTTCGGCTTACATAAGTCATCATCAACGATGACAATAACAAAAACAAACAAACAGACTGTCATTACTGCCATGTCCGTGTATTGCTTAATATATTTTAATGCAATTGTCATCTTTTATAATGGCTTATGTAAGCCGAAAGCTTAGATAGGATTAAAAAATATGTATCAATATTGTCATTTTCTTTCTTCTTTTAATGATAATGTTATTGCTTATCAGACTATATGAAAAGAATTTACATAAAATAAATAGACAACACTTGTCTATATTATTTAATGAAAATCCATCCATCATATATATATATATATATATGCTCTTATTATATACAGATTTATATATATATATATATATATATATATATATATATATATATATATATATATATATATCAAATATTTGGTGCAGTTTAATTTATATTACAATGAATCATTCATACAAAAAGTAAATTAGTAAGATTAATGATATAAGATGGTGAAATCCCTTTGCTGACTAAATTTTAAAGATGTATTAACCCACTAATCACTCGCTGAATGTTATGATCCTTGTTTTTGGGGTTTTTTTTTCTTAATTATAAACTGTATTAGGTGTTCCGTAAATATGACAGTTCTTGCGTATTTAACATAACATTCATTGAGTGATTAGTGGCTTTAAAGGTCAGTTCATAATCGTCATGAAGAGTTTCAACAATTTTAAAAGCAAAATGATGATCGGGCACAAATCAAAAACCACAAATGGTATATTACTGAGCATTACATTTATTGAAAGGTAAAAGTATTTTGGGGGATTTGCTACCATTTAGTCTCAAACATGAACCAAAAATGTCAAGAGGCGCCCTAGTGTACATCCTCCCAA